ATTTACAATACAAATTCAAGGTATCGGTTTAAGGCTCTTTTTTTCTAGACTCCATCTCTACATTTATACAAAGCAGTAGTCTGCATTAGGAAGTGTTTGCCATCTGCTACCACACAGAGGTATCTAAGAACACAGTTTCTCCTTCTATTTAGACTAGGAAAACATTCTGTAAATGTGTGGTGTCTTTTGGCAAATGTTGACTTTTTTTGCTGGAGACCACTATGTTTCAATAATTACAGACTTGCATATGTGACCAAATATTTCAATCCTCTGTATAACAATATAGAGGACCAGATTTATAGGAAAGAGCAACACAAGGAATGTCACTTTACATACCATCCATTCCCCTCAGGTTGCACATTTTTGGGGGAAAGTTATCCTTTTTGATCTTCTGTTGCAGTGATTCCTATGCTGTGGTCTGTAGAACACTTACTGGTGGTCCACCAAGAGCTGGCTAGTCTCAATGTGCTGACTCTCTTCTTTGGCTCAAGCTCAGAAACAGAAAAGATGGAAAAGGGCAATGAAATGAATAGAATAAACAAATAGATTAACTTTAGTCAAAAAGGACAAAGCATTTATCACACTAAAGACAGCCAAAATACTTTCCTAATATTTTTCCAGTCTCAGTGCTGAAGTTGCCATGGGGACATTATATGATTGTGGATAGGGTAGGAATTGGTCCAGGTGATTGCAAATGGACATGGAGGTTGATCACGAGACACACTCATGATGATGTGGCTCAATCCCTGCTCTATTCCATGTTCCGCACAGAACACTCTATGCAACAGTATGGATGGAAGAGGGGAAATTTTCCCTTAACCTCAGAGAGGTTAGAATTAGCTATAGAGCTTGACAATTTTGTCAGAGAAATGCTTTTAAGACTCTGATTTTCCCCTACTTTGCATCTTCTGTAGACTTTTTCCATCTCTGTGAAGTGTATGTAAAATGCTGCTATTCTGATTTGCACATGTATAATTGTGTACACAAGGTGCAATGCAGTAATGAATAGGACCCCTAGCTACATTTTGTTTATGGAAACACTAGAAATAGCAGAGGCAGACATTTAGATTTGTGTATATGCAGACAGATATTTTTAAAGGAACCTAGTGAAGTTAGGCACCTGTTTTCCATGGGATTTCGATATGTAACTTCCTTAGGCTCCTTTGAAAATTCCAGCCTTAAATCACATCTGTATGGCTTAAGGACTAATGATCTAATGCACAGCAGTGATTTCTTCTCTTGAATAGTTAGTACAGCTTCTCAGTTTAGAACTGGGCAGAACCTCAGGTGAAAATCATCTTGAAGCTTTTTGGACAATTGTCATTTCTGAATTATCTGGTATGTTTAGCCAGATTTCATATATTCCTCTCATCATTGAATAGTTCCTGTTCTTGATCCTCTCTGACTTTCAGATTTCTGATAACTGAGGGGTGTTAGGCAACCTGGGATTTCTAAATAGGATCTTGAGCTACAAGAAATATAGCAGCTAAACATTCAGGACAATTCACCTTGGTCTGCCATAGAGGAAAGGGAGTAATGAGGGAGTGTCTACAGAAAAGAACAGAGGCCTTTTGCCTCATTCTTGTCGTACATTAAATATTTGAGAATTATGTCTGTCCTTTCCTCACTGCTACAAAGGCCAGGTGTTCGTAACCTAAAACATAATAGTATCTTGGAAAACTATGGCACATCTTAATTTCATGGGGGCACTCATTAATAAGTAATGTTTAAACAGGGTATCTTAAAAGAAGTCCCACCATATTGGGACTAGTCTACTATTCAGCAAAAAGTCAGAGGCAGTACCATACCAAAAGATATATAAATGTACTTACAGCAAACTCTGAAACATGTAGCAACTACTGGAGGAGAAACACATTGGCCGGTAAAATAAAGTTATATAAGGTATGCATATTAAGGGAGAAAATATGGCAGTATGATTTTACACAATTTTCCAGGTTTTAATATGTTTTATAAATACTAAGGAAGCTGGAGTAACTTGTGGATTTAAGCCAGCTTTTTCTTTTTCTTTTTATGATTACAAATAGAAGGTAGCATCAGAGGAAATAGAACTAATAAGTTAAAGCTAAACCATTATCTGGGATATATTCAGTGTAGCTCTGGGCTAGTTACCTTTGTGTCTTCTTCCCCCCCTCACCCCCCCCCCCCATGAATGCAGTGACATGGGAGCCATAAAGCTTTCAGCTATGATTCCATGAGTAATAAAGTATTTTAGTAAATTCAAAGTCAAATAGATTTTGAAGCTCTGATTTTGCTTCCTTTAGTATTTCATGTTGTGTGCAATTTTAGTACACTTCTAGTACACTTATTGTTAAACCACAAGCCCAACATTTGCAGTAGATATGGTGTATTACAAATACCTGGTTGAGAGTTTCTCACACTAGTTCCATTGTGGCTGCTTTTACCTCTGCAGAGAGTGAGGCTACTGCAAGTGATGAGCGCTGCAAGTGGGAATTGTCATGTTATATGTGCTTCCTCTGCCCAGGAACACTTGCTAATTTCATAAGGTTACTAATTAACAATGTTTCTTTTGCCTACTCATGCCTCTAACTTTTTATTTCCTTTTTTTTCAGGAAAAATAAGGGAATACCTTTAGATTGGATTTATGATTATTACACACCAGACTCCCCACAACTCTTGTTGTAGTTTTAGAATATTCTGTATGAGTTGTGGCTGTTTAGATAAGGATGTTTATTAGTTCAGAATAGCAGGTCAGGGTTGGATTGCACTGGCAAAACTGAGGAAGTTTCCCAGTGCTTGTTTTTACTGTGCCTGGCTCAGCTCAATGCCTTCGGCTCCTCACTTTATTGAGCGCTAATGTTGCCCAGTGTGCTACGTGGGTACGTTACAGACACCACATCGTTGTTTTTTGTTTTTATGAAGGATGAGGTCCTAGGAATGTTTTTATTTTTATGTGCTTGGGACAGTATTTCCCATAGCTCCTCTTCTGTATGCAGATCATCCGAGTGAAATCCTGGTCCTGTTGAAATCAGTGGCACTTCAATAGGTCCCTGATTTCACCCCAGGTGTGTAGTTCCTGCCCGTGATCTTAAATCAACAAGTTCCTGCCCTGGCTGAAATCCACAAGGTACCCCTCCCCACCCCATCTTCCCTAGTATTTGTAAACAAACATAGGAGGCCAGTGTGAGAGCTTTGTCAAAGGCCTGATCTCCCATCTCTTCCTCTCCCTATTGTAGAGAAGTTCTGTCAACTTCAAAGATCCACTTCTTCCGTCATTTGCTTGTGTAAATGATACTAGGATTCAGTCAACAGAAACTTTGCAACTTGTACAGAAATGAATTTTATTTTGATACTGAAACGATCTATCAAATCATTCACCAGCAGTTTGGTTCATTCAGTAGCTGCATTTAGCAAAATTTCTTCTAAGGATTTGCAAGAACCTTTTAAAGGGATGCTGTTAAATTAAAACTCACACATCTGCATGAAAAAATATTTAATTGCTAATTTTACAATATCTGTAAATGGAAATTCTCTTTTTTCGCCAGTTCATTTACTTTTTGCATATTTGTAGAACTAGTTTTGTTGTTTGCTCTATACAGTCAGGTAGGTCCCGATTTTACTGCAGCTCTTTGCACATGGACCCCTAAAAGAGAGCCCCATTGAAGGTCCATGTGGGCACATGAGTCCATTGCAGAGAGTTGCTTGTAGGATCAGGGCCTGTGTGAGTTTCCTCTGTTTTCATGGGGCTTTGCAGAGGGATTGGAGGGACACACACACACACACACACGACTGTATAACTACTGAAAGTGGCAGAGGCAGGTGTAGTAACTGAAACTACTTTTAACTTATTTTTTATACTGTTTGGATTATAAGAGGATATTTAATTGTCATTCAAGCATAATGTGCACATAAGACAATCTCCATATTTGCAAAGTAATTACAATAGACCAGATTATTGGAACATATTGATTATTTTAAGTGTACAGCTACATTTTGCAGCTATACACCAAAACTGCAGCTGCACCAGAAGACGTAATATTGCAAATGAACGATTTATAGTTTTATGCCTATAAAATTTTCATACCCTTAACATTCCAACTTATCTGCAGTACTGATAGTTACAAACCACTAGATTATTTACACATACAATTTTAACTTACTTGATAAACTTATACTTTTAATCAATATTTTTCTTAGCTAGAACAACAAACAAGCCTAAAGATATGTACAGAATGTCTACAGAATAGTGGGATAGCAGTTAGTGACTCATGCACCTGGAAGTAGAACATCAATCTTCTTCCACAACCACCTCCTCTGAGCACAAATTCCTCCCAAGATTAAATACCAAGGCATACTTCTATCAGCCCCTTCATAGGCATGGATTTCAGCAGACAGTCTGCCCCCTTTTGTTCATCAGATGTCAGTGAAGTGGTATAGCTCACTGTTCCTTATCTATGTATTTATGCTAGTAAAGCCCATAATTATTCAACAGCCTTGTTACTAACTATTTTTTTCCCCATGGGAATAATCTTTCTTATATTAATATTCCTGGATATATCCTGCCCTTTCTGAACATGCTTATTTTCTTGTCTCAAAACATGGCCATTCTCAATGCTACTGAAGTACTGGCTTCCTTCTACAGGCGTGTTTGCTGCAGTAATGCATTCTAATTTGGTCTGTATTGATCTTCATTTCTTCTGAACAAAATGGAAAAATGTTTATGAAAACTAATTTGCACTACAGTCATCTAATTATTAGGGCTTATATATACTAACGTAGCATGTCTATTAAGTTTAATGAGCATTACTCTATGTGCCCTTACCAAGGGGAATATAGACCCTAAATGCTTTCTCTAAGTTCCTCTTCATTAACCTCGATATTATACAATTATAGTTGTTGACCACTTTTCCCCTTCAAATACTTTTATTAACAGATTTTATACAACCAGCATTTTAGTGTTCTGTGCTTGGAAAACAGACTGATGTTCATTATGACAAAAATAATGTCTTTTTCCATTATAGGAGTACACAATAGATGTTTTCTTCCGTCAAAAATGGAAAGATGAGAGGTTAAAGTTTAAAGGCCCAATGAACATCCTTCGACTGAACAACTTAATGGCTAGCAAAATCTGGACCCCAGACACATTCTTTCACAATGGGAAGAAGTCAGTAGCTCATAACATGACAATGCCAAACAAACTACTACGAATCCAGGATGATGGAACTCTCTTGTATACCATGAGGTACATTTATTTACATGGCTTTTCTGAGGAATAATGCTTTATGCCTTACTCCAACTGGAGATATGGAGTCCATTTTCACAGTCAGTACAATTCATTAAATATGTTCAAAGAAAATCATATAAAAGTAAGTCAGAGGTTTCTGGAAATTGTTATACAATGGTTTTAAACTAACCAGTACAAGTAACAGCATTGCAATAGAATATGGAAATAGAAAATTACATATCATTTTCAGTCTCCAGGCTACTCTTTTGCTTCACTTATGGCCTCATGGATACAACTCTGGACTGGAACTCAGGAGACCTAGGTCATAGTCTCATTTCTATCACTGGCCTGCTGGGTGACCTTGGGCAAGTCACTTGCCCTCCCTGTATATCAGTTTCCCCAACTGTAAAATGGGGATAATGATACTAATCTCCTTTGTAAATTGCTCTGACATCTATGGATGAAAAACACTGTATAAGAGCTAGGTGTTAACAATTTACCAACTTCAATGACCAGCTGGATAGTACAGTGATTAAACTGGCACGTGATTTCTAGTAAACATCTTGTTACTATACAAATTGTTTGTGTGTAACTGACAGTGATTTGATGGAGTTAAATGATATTGGTCCATTGATCAGATTTAGTACCCAGATTATTGGCTAAGAGAAATGAGGAGGGAGAAAGATTGGCTTTCAAAGTCCTGCCAAACAATAACTCCAGGCAAAACTATATCTTAATTAATAACATTCTTTGTATCCTATTAAAACATTTTTTTTAATTTAATGTTTTATTTTTACATCCTAGGTATGATCAGTTTCTAAGAAAAATGCAAAGTCATCCTTAGGGAAAAAAATTTACCTAAAGAGTCAGTTTGGTTAGAAAATTAGTAAGAGCAAAACATAACCTTCTGTTAGAAAGTGTCTCAGTACGATGGGCAATTTGCTATTTACGTATTCTATTGCAATGCTCTTACTTTTACTGCTCAGTTTAAAATAGGATTGCCAGGTTTTCTACCAGAATGCCCAGTCGAAAAGGGACCCTGGCGGCTCCGGTCAGCACCTCCAACCAGGACATTAAAAGTCTGGTCGGTGATGCTGCGAGTCTAAGGTAGGCTATTTCCTACCTGGCATCGCGCTGTGTCCTGGAAGCAGCCAGCAGGTCCGGCTCCTAGGTGGTGGGGGGCCACAGGGCTCCTCACGCTGCCCCTTCCCCAAGCACCAGCTCCACACTCCCATTGGCTGGGAACCACAGCCAATGGGAGCTGTGGAGGTGGTGCCTCTGGGGAAAAAGCAGTGCGTGGAGCCCCCTGCCCCCCCACCACCGCCTAGGAGCTGGACCTGCTGGCCACTTCCAGGGCGCAGTGTAGAGCCAGGACAGGCAAAGAGCCTGCCTTAACCCCGTTGTGCCGCTGACCAGGAGCCGCCCAAGGTAAGCCCGTGCCCCAATCCTGAGCCCCAACCCCCTGCCCCAGCCCTGAGCCCCCCACCAAACCTGGAGCCCCCTCCTGCACTCCAAACCCTGCACCCCCCAGCCCAGACATATCCCCTCCTGCACCCCAACTCTCTGCCTCAATGCACAGCACCCTTCCGCACTCCAAATCCCTTGGCCCCATCCCCCAGCCTGGAGCCCCCTCCTGCACCCCAAACCCCTCATCCCTGATCCCAGTCCAGAGCCCACACCCACAGCCCGTACCCCCTCCCGCACCCCAACCCGGGGCCCCCTCCTGAACCCCTCATTTCTGGCCCCACCCTGGAGCCCGCACCCCCAGTTAGATCCCTCACTCCCTGTCCCAGCCCAGTGAAAGTGAGTGAGGGTGAGGGAGAGCGAGCCACCAAGGGAGAGGGAATGTAGTGAGCGGGGGGCGGGGCCTTGGGAAAGGGGTGGAGCAGAAGGTGGGGCTTCGATGAAGGGGCGGAGCTAGGGTGTTCAGTTTTGTGCAATTAGAAAGTTGGCAACCCTAGTTTAAAACCATTGTATAACAATTTCCAAAAACCTCTGACTTATTTTTTAAATGATTTTCTTTGAACAAATTTAATGAATTGTACTGATTGTGAAAGTGGACACCGTCTCCCCAGCTAGAGTAAGGCATAAATCATGAGCCACAAAGCAATCAGGCACTTTGCAGTCTTATAGCTCTGTCAGTGCACCTTAATCCTGATTTGCTGTACAGCTGCCAAGCAGTTACACTTCTGAGTCTTGATAAATAGACTGCTAATCATATTGAATTATGTGATGGTTTGAAGATGCATAGAAAAGTTTTCTAGGAACTAAATTGAGGCCATTACCATTTATAGTATTTTCACTTGTGATCAAATCAATATTTGAATCCATGTTTGTATTAACTGATTGAAATGTCAGCCATCCAGAAACTTGTCTTTAATCCTGTGCTGCAAATCAAAGAAAATGCCGTTTCCACCCAATTTGAAAAGATTAAAAAAAGAGGCAGCTAATGTAAACTGATAGATTATGCCAGATAAAATTAATCATGCAATTGTGTACGATTATAAATCGACTACTTAGAGGTACGTTGCTCTTGAAGCTGTGAAATTTATGTCTTAAATTACTTTAATTTTATAAATTCAGAACTGGCCATTGTACATGTATCAAATTACCGTATGATTAATATAAGCCTTCTGCTTAACTTCTAACTATGAATCTTGAGAAAATAAAGCTAAATGAAGCACTAAAGCTATGTAATGGAAAATAAGGTGCCTGCTTTAATATAGACAGTTTTGTTTTTCAGTCTGTGATTACTAGAATTTATTCTTTTCATGACTTACTGTACCTAGAGATGGTCTGTATTGGGGACCCTGTCCATTCATGCAATTCAGTGTTTAATCAAAACTAATCCAGATGAAAAATCTGAGAGAAATTATTTCAGATGTTTTAAGATTATGTTTATCCCTGAGTTTGATGTAAGCACGTTCGCTCCGGACATTCCATGTAGTTATTGTTAATGTTTTGGCATTAGTGTATGCACTGTACTAAGCTGAGGAATGAGAAGAGCCATTTTTTTTAAAATGAATGCATTTTTTTCACACTTTCCATTTAAGAAGTAAAAAAAAAAAAAAGGTTCAGAGGCTAGTGGAGCACATTCCTTAAGCAAATCAGCTATGCTTTATGTGCTTTTGTAACAAATTATTAGGAGCCATGCAACATGTGCCTCTGAATATTAGGAGAAGAAAATGACTATGCTGAACAACCCACAGTTATATAATTTATATTTTCATTTAAATGACCTTTTCTCATAGTTTTGAGGTCAGCTGTAAGTTTTTGATGTGATAAATCAATGTATTCTGAAGGACCACATAAAAGTGAAGAAGGAAGCGGTGATTTAAATTTTAATTAGTTTAATATAACACTGCAATTTCATCTCCTAAATCATCATGAACTCTGTTCATTTTTTGTAGAATTGATTTTCTTGTCTTGTTAACTGACTTAAACATGTAGTGTTCTTTTGCCTTTTAGGCTTACAGTCCAAGCTGAATGTCCAATGCACTTGGAGGACTTTCCTATGGATGCTCATTCATGCCCGTTGAAATTTGGCAGCTGTAAGTACATAGCTAGAAGTATAGCCGTTGGCTAATGAATATCTTGTGTGGTTCAACATCACTTTGTTTTACAAATTGTCATTGCCCAGGTTTCTGTAGGTACAGAAGGTTATATACTGTGTCATGTATTTTGACATGGTGAGATCTTTTTCAGTGTTCTATCCTGTAAGGCATTTGAAAAATTCCTGGACTCTGCTTTAACTAAAAATATTGTGGGGCTAATTTACTACTGCATTGTTCCAGTTTTATGCTAGTGTAACTCTGTTGTTTTCAGTAACACAGTGGTGAATCAAGACCTATGTGTATGGAATATAAATATTGTATTTATACAAAGTAAACTAAAGCTTTCTAAACAAAGATACGTATTTAAAAATATATCTCTGAAGTTTCTAAAGATTCTAACTGGCATAGTTTAGATTGCAGTGCATTTACTCTCTTAATGGTATGTGTTGTTTCATTCTTAGTCAGTGAAGGCTGCAGCAAATGACTTATTGAGATTAAAGTTACAGTGTACATTTTGTAGTTTAATATGTAGGGTCTGATCCTGATCTCACTTACACCACTTTTATACCAGCATAACTTCATAAACTTCAGTGGCATAACTCCTGTTATAAGTGAGATCAGAATCAGGCCCATGGTTTATAATAGCTGGGGATTTTTAAATATTGTATCTATTTCCTTGGTTTCTTGCCTTTATTTTCCTTTAAGAGATAGCAGCAGATTCACTGCTGAGCACAAAAGAGAAGGTGAATTTCAAGGGGTTGGTTACTGCTATCTGATTATCTGCTGATTTCAGACTGGCCTAATAGAGTACAAAGCAAGCAACCCCCACATTCCACCGGGTGGTAACTAAAGGGGTAATTTTGTTCATAAGCTGGGCATTGTCAGAGCCCTGTACACTCTGATGATGCCTCTGATGTGTATGGGGAAAAGACATAGGAATGGGCTGCACTAGGTCTATGCCCTCTGGGATCATCTCCATGTGCGGGGAATCCCCGGTTGCAGAGATACAGGTAGCTTTTATTCCTTTTTGCACTGAAATAGAAGGGGCTAGAGATTCTGGTCTGATTTTATTTAACTATAAATTTTTGCAAATGGGAGTTGTGCCTAGTGAAGACTGAGTAGGGTCGACTCTTACAAGCCTACTTTGAATACATATCAAATTTCTTTCTCATGGAAGTAACCTTTTGCTTTATATTCTAATTTAGCTATGTGTTACCAAAACTACGTAACACAACAACATAATACCAGAAGTGTTACATAAAATCAACTAAAAAATAATAGTATATGGGTCTTGCAGCCAGTATTGTCTGTGTGCAGAGAGAGCGCCCAGGATTTTAGGTACAAATAAATGCATATTTGCCATGTGTAGTAGTAAAATAACAAGTTTTATATAGCAATGAACTGGTCTGAAGACAAAGTATTATGAAAGGCTGAATTCCAAAGGGAAAGTATAAAACTAGAGGTAATCCCAAAACATGAAACAAACCCATTGAAATATATACTTGGACAAAGCTATCATTGTATAGCAGTACTTCATTTGTACACAGAAGTTTGAAACATATCTGTCTGGAATTGAATATGTTAGACTGAGTGAGTTTCTTCTGCTTTTTGGTAACTGATTTGTTCTGTGTCTGACAGTGCTAGTGCTTATTTTGTTTATTTGGCATCCTCCCAAGCTTCAGGTTCTGTAGGAAAAGGAAGAATTGAAGCCTGTTCACAATATTTTCTCTTTTGAAAAGCTGACTCTTTTCCTGCACATTGCAGGTCCCAGTGCTAAAGAGCTGCTGGAGTTCTCACACATCTTTGCATATGCCCACTTTCCGTCTCTCTCACTTGTTCTTACTCCTACTTTTTTCATTGTTTAATTTCTCTAAGTTAAAATCATTTCTAGAGTCCCATGTATATTTCTGTTTTTAATGAGGGAGAGAAAACAAGGAAAAAACTATGAATAATTATAAAAATAAAGCTGAGCGCCTGAGGGACTGTGTGAGGGACACGTATGAGGACAAATCTTCAGCTGGTGTAAATCAGCATAGCTCCATTGAACTCAATGCCCAACATTACTGTCTGGAATTTCTGTATGAGGAAAGAGCTTAAGAGAGTCTGGCTATGCCAACTAGGGTTTTTGGGCGTGTGAACAAATTGTCATGAGGGTACTGACGAGCCTAAAAAAATCAGAATGGACACTTAAGATATGTCTACACTACAGTAAAAGGCCAGTGACTGGCCTGGGTCAGCTGACTCGGGCTGCGGGACTATAACATTGTAGTGTAGACACTGGGCTTAGGCTGGAGCCTGGGCTCTGGTACCCTTCCCTCTTGCAGGGTCTCGGAGCCTGATCTCCAGCCTGAGTCCAAATGGCTACACTGCAATTTTATAACCCCGCAGCCCAAGCAAGCCCGAGTTAGCTGACTAGGGCTAGCTGCAGCTGTGCCGCAGGTCTTTTATTGCAGTGTAAACATGCATCCTCTGTCTGTCACTAAGGAGGATCATCAACCAGCAAGACTGTCGCAATCTCTCTGCCATACCCAGGACAAAAGCCAAAGTGAAAGAATCAGAGAAATCACAGGATAACAGATGATATCAGAATTGCCTTACTTCATGCTTCTCAATAACCTAACCCTAAATGGGAAGGTTAGGGACAAGGCTGTAATGATGATTTGTCAGGCAAGAGACTTCCAGCTGCATATATGTAGGAAGCTGGCAACACACTATCCTGCAGGGAAGTGTTAACAGTCTCTGCAGTTTTGGTCTCTGCTAGATTTTATTAGCCATGTTGGATATGGCTGGTTGCATGAAGAAGCTCCTCCATGACCTCTAGAGCTTTCTCAAATGAAAATGACTGAAACTCAGCTAGGTGATATGTTAAAATAACAGGAGTACTTGTGGCACCTTGTTGTATTTCTTTCTCCACCTGCACTATAGCCACAGCATAGGACTTAAATTTACTTATCGCTATCAGACTCGGAACATGATTTCTTCCATCAATGCTTTCGCCTCCTCTCTTCACGCCCCATTTGCCGATTGGGGATATCAGACTGGAAAAGTGTGTTCCTTTCTTTTACAAAATAAACGTAAGGGACAGGATTATATTATTTCTTGAATTTTATTCCCCTTGGTGTTTTTATTTGGATTACATGGACAATTTTTCTGAATCACTTTTTAAGTGTTGTGTACAGCTTCTATTATTGCAATGGAAATATCTTTCCCATCTCATGGCCTTTGTTCTGCACAAATCTCCCTCCTACTGTTTCCTTTGTACCTTTCTCCCACTCTGCTCTTTATGTCTTGCTCCATGCTGCACCCCAGGCTTGAAACACTCTCCTACTTCTTGTGTAATAAACAGCCCCAAGCATCCCATGCAGCAAGTGTTAAGCCAGTATCCTAACAACACATAGAAAAACACACTCACACTCTGTATGACCGCATCCACCTTTAAGGGAAGCTAGAAGTGCTGAACATACTCAGTGTTTTTCTGTCTCCCAGTCACTGAAGATGCATTAATGCTGGCAGTTTTAGTTCCTTCTATTTTTAGTTTATGTTGGCAGTGCTATTAGTTTTACAATAAAAATCCTGTGGGAGGGTTGGGGCTCCCCTGAGCCCCCACCAGACCCCAATTTAAGTTGTTTATAATGTCCTTCCCCTCTTTGCAGCTCATGAGGGGTTCTCCAAATAAAATTGAACAAACAAAAGAGAGGTCCTTTTCTCTCTCTTTCCCTTGAGCGAGAGGGGAATCAGAGGAAAAGAAAAGAAAGGCAAAGGTGGTCTGTCTCTTAGGTAGTCTTTTGGGGTCATCCCTTTGGGGTTTGGCTTATCAGCTGGTATAGTGTCTTTAATTAGGGTCTACATCCAGCTTCTTCTCTTGGGGTACCCTGCTTTTGAACTTTCCATGTAGTTTCAAGGGCAGTGAGGCCTATGACTGTCTCCCTCTTGGTTGATCTGTCCCTGTGATCAGCAGTCTATGAGATGTAGCAATCTTTCTGTTCACAACCCCTTCCTATGGTAGTGTTCCTTTTTTAAGCTTCCCCGCTCCAGGCAGAGTAAGCCTTACAAGTGTGCCTGGTTGGTGCTGAATGAGCCCAGAATAGCTCATTAGTCTCCTCTCTACAGGAGTGAGGGTGGGCCCCTTCATAGTGCTCCTTGGCAAAGTGGGTATTTTCTCTTTTGCTATCCTCTGGAGTGTACTATGTGAGCAGCTCCAACAGTCTGTGTGTCCCGCTCCTTTCAGAGGGGCCAGGTTATGGAGTGAAATTTAAGGGGGAAAAACAGGCCCAGAGACAGCAGGGCACAGACGCTCTTGGGTCTGCCTAACACTGCAACACCATATTTAGATATGAACATCAAACGAGCAGGAAAAGCTTGTGGCTCATTTCAGACTCCATAGATGAGCAGAAACAAATTTCCAGAAAGTTAATCTGTCCTACATATAACAAATCATTGACACAGCACCCTCTCCAATTCAGATTTTAGGGCACATTTAATAAGTAATCTCCAATGAATATTTTAACAGTTTATAAATAGATTTTGCTTGTAACTCAACAGCAATGATGTTCAATTAGTTATATCAATGAAAATTAACAATATGTAGTCCTGTGCTGCATGTATACTGTGAGGCTTGCATACTTACATATTCTCAAGCAATTTAAATATTATTTTGCCCTGTCAGTCGTAGACTATAATGACGGTTTTAGGAAAATAATTAAGTAGTTCTAATTATTTATGCCCTGAAGTTGCAAATCATGGACACTTTTTGTTCTAAAATGCTGACAAAATATTTTCTTAATATTTCCCATAGATGCATACACAACTTCAGAAGTGACCTACATTTGGACTTACAATGCATCTGATTCCGTACAGGTTGCACCGGATGGCTCTAGATTGAATCAGTATGATTTGCTAGGCCAAACAGTTGGAAAGGAGACTGTTAAATCGAGTACAGGTTAGTAAAATACATTGGAAGAAAAGGATAGTTGCTTTATAATAATAAGCATAAGATGCTGGTGGTATTATGTCATTCGGCTGCCAAAACCAGTATTGGCAGTAATAAGATTACTCCATTTCAGTAATATTGTATACTATGAGCAGCCTGTAAGAACAATTTGCTAATTCCTTGAAGCTTAATGAAATAGCAAGTGTCAGTGGAGGTAACAACTCCCTATCGCTGTTTCCACAGGGCTCCCGTGAAACCTAATATCAAGGGTTTTTATGAATCTTTGTAACCCAAACCTTGGTTAAGGTGAAAGATGGGAAGTGCCATTTTTAGTCTACTACTTTCATGATGTGATTAGATTTTTTTTTCTCCTGGACAATGGATTATTAGCATTTCCTATTGGTATATCCCACAGGCTCATACATATAGTGGACCCTTGCAGCTGCATGGAGCCCTGTTGACTTAAGTGGGACTTTGTATGTCCACCAGTGTCTGCCCATGCATATGAACATGCAAGATTGAAGTCTAACATCTTTGTCATGGCACACAGTTTTTTCCTTGTAAATATAAAAATTCACTTCTAGAATATATTGTCCAGGACAAATATTGGATCCAAGTTTGCGCTCATTGAAGCCCATGACTACACTTTCCTTGAGTTCAGTGATAGTAGGATACAGCCCACAGAGTCAAAGTCAAAAAGTTCATTTACATTCAGTAGGATTTTTCTGCCTAAATAGTTTTGTAGACTGCATCTACAGACCATTTGTTTCACATATATGTACCATGCTACCTTTAATTGCCAGGAAAGTGAATTGTCTATAGAGGCTAATAGTTCATTTTATAGGATTTTTTGTTTGTTTCTCTTTCACATACTAGGTGAATATACAGTAATGACAGCTCATTTTCACTTAAAGAGAAAAATTGGTTATTTTGTGATTCAGACTTACCTCCCCTGCATCATGACAGTCATTCTCTCTCAAGTGTCGTTCTGGCTGAACAGAGAATCTGTACCTGCAAGAACAGTCTTTGGTGAGTATTCTGAGGAACACCTGGCATGTGCATTAGGCAACATCTGCAGCGGTCAGTAAGATTTCTGAAACCAGCTGAAGCCCATTTAGTTCTTTTTATAGGGTGGCTTGCCCTGTATGGGGTGGAGGGCCTGGGGATAGCCAGCCATGCTTACTGAAAGAGTGGAATCAGATGATTCCCCTATAAAAAGCACTCCGAAGAGGCAAGCATGTGTGCGTGCTTAGGGAGAACAGAGACTTTCGGGAGCGAGCAGAGTCTTGGGATTTGGGACTAAGACTCTAGCTAGGATGGGCTGGGAGCAGCCTGCTGAGGCAGGGGAGACCCTGAGAAAACTTGTTTGTTGGACTTTGTTTTATTTTGAGTTTACTTTCTGTGCATAAACCCAGAGCCCAAGGAGGATTCTTTTGACCACAGAAGAAGTCTGTGCAAGGGGCCTGGAAGAGGAGGGAGCAGAGGTGGGGTTCCACAGATTGACCTCTGGCTGTGAGGGGGGCTCAGGAGGCAGAGAAACTTGTTAGAAAGATCCTTTCTGATTCAAGTTCATTATAGAAAGTGACAAAGTGCTGTTGTTTGTAGTCCATAGAACCTTCAGGTGCAGGCTACAGATCTTCTGACAGTTTTTCAGGAGAATTAGCATATGAAAGTGGCATACAGATATTTCCTTGACTTTTTTTTAAAGGGAACAGTTTGCATATAAAGTAATAAGGTTCTAATCTTGAATGTTTTCAAGTTAAATGTTGTATTTATATTGAGGTTTGGCTCTGAAATATTTCATCTATACTATCAATAAGTGTTAGTGTGGTGTAGGTTTATATATACGTCTAGCTCTATTTATAAACTAAGCAGAATGGAAGTCCCACATCATTTCAAAATATTGCAGTGTGCAAACTGCAGTTCTTTTTCTAGTGAACATGTGCTTCTGGGCCAACTCCGTTACAGTAGTATCTAAGTGCCTCACAATTTCGAATGTATTTATCTGCACCCCTGTGAGGTAGAGAAGGACTATTATCTCCATTCTACAGATAGGGAACTGAGGCACAGAGAGACTACATGACTTAGAGTCATAGAAATGTGGGGCTGGAAGGGATCTTGAGATCATCTAGTCCAGCCCCGTGCTGAGACAAGACCGAGCATACCTAGACCATCCCAGAATGGTGTTTGTCTAACCTGTTCTTAAAAAACTTCCAGTGATGAGTATTCTATTATTTCCCTGGGAAGCCTATTCCAGTACTTATCTATTCTTATAGTTAGGGTATGTCTACACTACGAAATTAGGTCGAATTTATAGAAGTCGGTTGTTTAGAAATCGTTTTTATAAGGTCGATTGTGTGTGTCCCCACACAAAATGCTCTAAGTGCATTAAGTCGGCGACCGCGTCCACAGTACCAAGGCTAGCGTCGACTTCTGGAGCGTTGCACTGTGGTAGCTATCCCACAGTTCCCGCAGTCTCTGCCACCCATTGGAATTCTGGGTTGAGATCCCAATGCCTGATGGGGCAAAAACAATGTCATGGGTGATTCATCAGGCCCCACCCTCCCTCCCTCCCTGCCGTGAAAGCAATGGCAGACAATCGTTTCGCGCCTTTTTTCAGCCCAGATGCCATAGCACTGGGATCATGGAGCCCGCTCAGATCACCGCGGCAATTATGAGCACTTTAAACACCACGCACATTATCCTGGAGTATATGCAGGACCAGAACCTGCCAAGGCAAAACCAGGCGAGGAGGCGATGGCAGCGTGGCGACGAGAGTGATGAGGAAATAGACATGGACATAGACCTCTCACAAAGTACAGGCCCCAGCAATGTGCAAATCATGGTGTTAATGATGCAGGTTCATGCCGTGGAATGCCGATTCTGGGCCAGGGAAACAAGCACAGACTGGTGGGACCGTATAGTGTTGCAGGTGTGGGACGATTCCCAGTGGCTGCGAAACTTTTGCATGCATAAGGGCACTTTCATGGAACTTTGTGAGTTGCTTTCCCCTGCCCTGAAGCACCAGAATGCCAAGATGAGAGCAACCCTCACAGTTGAGAAGCGAGTGGTGATAGCCCTGTAGAAGCTTGCAATGCCAGACAGCTACCGGCCAGTCGGGAATCCATTTGGAGTGGGTAAATCTACTGTGGGGGCTGCTGTGATCCAAGTAGCCAACGCAATCAAAGAGCTGCTGGTATCAAGGGTAGTGACTCTGGGAAACGTGCAGGTCATAGTGGATGGCTTTGCTGCAATGGGATTCCCTAACTGTGGTGGGGCGATAGACGGAACCCATATCCCTATCTTGTCACCGGAGCACCAAGCCAGCGAGTACATAAACCGCAAGGGGTACTTTTCAATGCTGCTGCAAGCACTGTTGGATCACAAGGGACGTTTCACTAACATCAATGTGAGATGGCCGGGAAAGACATGATGCTCGTGTCTTCAGGAACTCTGGTCTGTTTCAAAAGCTGCAGGAAGGGACTTTCTTCCCAGACCAGAAAATAACCATTGGGGATGTTGAAATGCCTATAGTTATCCTTGGGGACCCAGCCTACCCCTTAATGCCATGGCTCATGACGCCATATACAGGCAGCCTGGACAGTAGTCAGGACCTGTTCAACTATAGGCTAAGCAAGTGCAGAATGGTGGTAGAATGTGCATTTCGACGTTTAAAAGCATGCTGGCTCAGTTTACTGACTCGACTAGACCTCAGCGAAACCAATATTCCCATTGTTATTACTGCTTGCTGTGCGCTCCACAATATCTGTGAGAGTAAGGGGGAGACATTTATGGCAGGGTGGGAGGTGGAGGCAAATCACCTGGCCGCTGATTACGCACAGCCAGACACCAGGGCGGTTAGAAGAACACAGCAGGGCGCGGTGCGCATCAGAGAAGCTTTGAAAACCAGTTTCATGACTGGCCAGGCTACGGTGTGAAAGTTGTTTGTTTCTCCTTGATGAACACCCCCCCCCCCCGGTTCACTCTACTTCCCTGTAAGCTAACCACCCTCCCTTCCCCCTTCGATCACCGCTTGCAGAGGCAATAAAGTCATTGTTACTTCACATTCATGCATTCTTTATTAATTCATCACACAAATAGGGGGATAACTGCCAAGGTAGCCCGGGAGGGGTGGAGGAGGAGGGAAGCGCCGGGTGGGGTGGGGGAGGAGATAAAGACAAGGACACACTGCACTTTAAAACTTATTGAAGGCCAGCCTTCTGTTGCTTGGGCAATCCTCTGGGGTGGAGTGGCCGGAGGCCCCCCCACCGCATTCTTGGGCGTCTGGGTGAGGAGGCAATGGAACTTGGGGAGGAGGGCTGTTGGTACACAGGGGCTGTAGCGGCGGTCTGTGCTCCTGCTGCCTTTCCTGCAGCTCAACCATACGCTGGAGCATATCAGTTTGATGCTCCAGCAGCCAGAGCATCGACTTTTGCCTTCTGTCAGCAAGCTGACGCCACCTATCCTCTTCAGCCCGCCACTTGCTCTCTTCAGCCCGCGATTCAGTCCACCACCTCTCCTTGCGTTCATATTGTGCTTTTCTGCACTCTGACATTGTCTGCCTCCACGCATTCTGCTGTGCTCTGTCAGCGTGGGAGGACATCTGGAGCTCCGAGAACATGTCATCCCGAGTGCGCCTTTTTTGCCTTCTAATCTTCACTAGCCTCTGCGAAGGAGAAACATTTGCAGCTGGTGGAGGAAAAGGGAGAAGTGGTAGTTAAAAAGACACATTTTAGAGAACAATGAGTACATTCTTTCACGTTAAAACTTGCTGTTCACATTACACAGCACATATGCTTTCGTTACAAGGTCTCATTTTTCCTCTTATATTGAGGGCCTGCCGGTTTGGTGTGAGAGATCACTCACGCAGTGCCAGGCAACAGAATTCGGCTTGCAGGCAGCCATGGTAAGCCACAGTCCTTTGGCTTTTTTAACCTTCATAACATGTGGGAATGGTTTCAAACATCAGCGCCCTCATTTCTCATACCAAGTGGCCGTTGGGTTGGCCATTTAAAATGGGTTTGCAATTTAAAAGGAGGGGCTGCGGTTTCCGGGTTAACGTGCAGCACAAACCCAACTAACCCCCCTCCCCTCCCCTCCCCCCACACCCAATTCTCTGGGATGATCACTAAGGGTATGTCTACACTACGGGATTAATCCGAATTTAGATAATTCGAATTTGGGAAACAGGTTGTATAAATTCGATTGTGCGCGGCCACACTAAGCACATTAATTCGGTTTTTAACCACATTAATTCGGTGGTGTACGGCCACACTACCCCATTAATTTAAACACAGTAATTCGGTGGTGTGCGGCCACACTAACCCTAATTCGAATTAACAAAATCGATTTAGGCGCTACTCCGCTCGTCGAGGTGGAGTACAGAAATCGATTTTAAGTGCCCTTTAATTCGAATTAACTGGCTCTGTAGTGTGGACGGGTGAAGGGTTAATTCGGATTAACGCAGCTAAATCCGAATTAAAGTCGTAGTGTAGACCAGGCCTAATAGCGGGGAACATTTCTGTTCAGCAGAGCAGGAACGGGCACCTCTGAATGTCCCCTTAATAAAATCACCCTATTTCAACCAGGTGACCGTGAATGATATCACTCTCCTGAGGATAACAGAGAGAGATAAGGAATGGATGTTGTCTGCATGCCAGCAAACGCCGGGACCATACGCTGCCATGCTTTGTTATGCAATGATTCCAGACTACGTGCTACTGGCCTGGCATGGTAAAGTGTCCTACCATGGAGGACGGAATAAGGCAGCCCTCCCCAGAAACCTTTTGCAAAGGCTTTGGGAGTACATCAAGGAGAGCTTTCTGGAGATGTCCCTGGAGGATTTCTGCTCCATCCCCATATACATTAACAGACTTTTCCAGTAGCTGTACTGGCCGCGAATGCCAGAGCAAATTAATCATTAAACACGCTTGCTTTTAAACCATGTGTAATATTTACAAAGGTACACTCACCAGAAGTGCCTTGTGTGCCCTCAGGGTCTGGGAGCACTCCTTGAGTGGGTTCGGGGG